CACACCACCACACACAACACAAACACAACACCACACGCCACACACGCATATCAGGCAGTTTGTTAGAAAAAACTAGCGTAGTTTCCAGGAGGGAAAAGGCGAATACAGAAAATTCGTTTGTTCCTCTTCATTCGTTTCGCCACGACGTTTGAAGATCATGTGACTTACGCTTGTTTTAGAGCCAGATCCAGTTGGGCGTCCTGCGACAAATCGTAATCGTAAATCAAGTAGTGTATCGATAGCCAATTTTGTGCAGCTTGTCCGTTGTATACAAGTTGTTTTGTGATTATAAAATGTATGGTATTCTAGTTCTCTCGGCATATTATACACAATTGTTATACATTTAATTGATTCTTGTTTACTGGAACTATTTGTTTACTGTGGTTGTGATTCTCATATAACAGAATTAAACATCTTAAACATCCTTTTCTAAAGCACGTTGTAAAGGCTCAGCTCAAATTTCATCGGAAATTTGATTTAGAGTTTTACTTCTCATATAGCCGGCCCCAGATCACTGCGTATTGCCTCTGATAACTAATAAATGTAACGGGGAAATCCCGATGTTTGTTTCATTCATTTTATGGATTCACTCGGATACGAACGTATGAATAACCCAAGACTTTCAGCCTTCCTCCTGAACCGTCAGACGGTAGTTTCCGTCCCGTGTTCCTCCCAACGCATTGCACTCTGCTAACGCTCTCGTGGACGGTCGACCTGCAATTCCCGTCCTGTCGCGCAAACATTGTCGGAAGCCTCACAGGGACGAACCGTCACCATTTGACCCTATCCCGTGTGCGGTGGCGCGCCACCTCGCTGCATCCTTCTCCCTGTCCGTTGTTGTTTCGGTTTGAAAGGTGAGGAGGCTTAAAATGTTTACTGGGGAAAGCGGAGTGTCCCACTGAGGGACTTCCTTCAAGTGTTTTTGGACAAAGTATCCAACTTGCAGATGTTTCTCGACGTTTAAAAAATAATCGTTTAACAATCGTCGATTTCCATTTTCGACCAATAACTAGTGATAATCGTGATTATGATTTTTTCTAATTTTTTTTAAAGATAATTATATTTTTTTATTACTACTTACATTTCTGTACACAATAATAATCTGCATGATTAAAATTAGTTCCTTACATCCCACGATGGCGCTCACAGACTCATCATCTCTCCTCATTAACAGGAAGCATCTGGCAGACAGGGCTGAAGTTTAGCACTGAGGTCAGAGGGATTATGGGAGATTACAGGTGAATGGAAGTGTGATTGGTTTGACGGACCAAGAATATTAACGAGGACTGATTTATAAAGGATTGAACTCCTGGTTAACTCTACCCTTAATAAATCAGAGGGTGCCTTGGTGGATTTTATCACAAACTGACCCTTCTTAAGTCCCTAACATATATGTGAGCAAAAACACTAGCTACCGATTGATGTAGTTCAATAACCCTAACCACACGTCAGGTGAGCACTGACAGTGAATAACACTAACACTGATTATCTGGTTATCAGTGGTTGTGGTTGGGGTGGGGGGGTATATCAGACAGCAAGTTCACATTTGGTCCTCAGAGTTGATGTGTTCGAAGCAGGAAAAATGGGCAGCGTGAGGATCTGCAGCTCTTGGGGGTGTTCCCGGTCTGCAGAGGTCAGTACCTATCAAAAGTGGTCCAAGGAAGGAGGCCAAGGCTCATTGATTGTCTGGGACGAGTCAGGGAGTCCAGTGCTCAGTGTTCCTGCTGATTGGTGGATATAGTCACATCTTAGGTTAGCTAATCTAAGCAAAGCACTAGCAAAACAGCAAAGTAATTACTATCTAACTAATTAATCTACATCAACCATTAGCAATGTAGATATTTCTGAAAGCTAATGTTAGCAACATTTTAGCTAACTAACATTTGATGCAAGACAATACATTTTCAAGTCGCACCTAAATAATGTAAACCAGAAAACACAAAAATACTCATCAAAACCTTTAATTGCCAAGCTGGACATTAAATAGAAAAATGCATAGCTGTTTATGTAAGAAATGCAGTGTTTTTCACAGAAACGTCATCGACCTCATTATTAAAGCTTCTCTTTAATGTCTCAGATTTTATATTTAAGACTTTTTTTATGTCTGGATGGATGAAAATCCGTCTTTAACTCTTTTCTTTCTTTTAGTTCGGGATAATCGAGCTACAGTTCTGAATGGGTTCATCATCAGGTACTAACAGACTTTATCAGCCGATGAAATGAGTCAACACAGCTTCAGTCAGACCGACAAACACCAACCTTTTTATTTTACCACTTTAAAGTGGAGAAACACTTTTCTTTCTAGCCTCTGAAATGTGAAGATTTTCTGTTTTATATCACAGAAAACTGAATTTCTTTAGGTTTTAAAATGTTGGTCGGACATTTGGAGACATCAGCTCAGTTTTCTGACATTTTACAGACTGAACAATAACATTACTGAAAGTGAACAATTGATTAATCAAATAAAATGCCAATCAGGTTCATAATAGTGTAAATAATCCCTGATTTTAGAAGATGCAAACAGAGAACAGTTGGGTTTTTTAGCAACGATGTAAACAGTTAATTATTGATTATCGGTTCATTGTTGGTGCGTTGACTCACTGCTGATCGGCCACCATCTTTTTCACAGCCGTTCTTACCCTACTATTTCTGCTGAGAAAAAGGCCCATTATCTTCTTTAAACCAACAGTTTGTAGATGTTTAAAGCCGAGTCTCGTTCCAAGCGTGTTTGCATAGTTTAGAAAAGAAGGACAAACGCACAAAAAACCCTGAAAACATAGAGCAACATCAACAGTGTAAATACAGTCGGACAAACAACTGGAGAAAATATCTGTTTCTCGCTGCAGTTATTTGCCCAATCTCGACCCCTCAGTGCCTTTGTGATAAATATAAACACTCTGTAACAAACCACACTGGTGTTTTTGCACATTTTAGCTCATTAACTACAAATCCTTTCAGGGAGAAGGAGTTCACTTTCTCGCTATCACTGAGCGGCGGTGTGTTCAAGGACACTTTGACATTTGATAGTCGGCCCCCGCTGAACATTATCAGAGTGTCAAACACAAGATAAGGCGAGTGTAATCTTTTCTTTCTCACAAAAGACAGGACGGAACAAGAATGTACCTATTACTCTGTTTTTCGTCCTGTGGCTTCCCCAGGGACCGTACTCCGGTCCCCTTTTGTTTTAACAACTGAGTAGGACTAGTAAACTGATCAAGACATTCAAATTCACGTCTCTTAATGTTTTATTGTCATCATTTTCCCAGATATCTACAGATCCGGTGATTCTCACTCAGTGTACGTTTGATTTATTTTTTCGCTCAGATAGTTCCTTGACTACAAAGTAACTTTTGTAGTAACTAACTAACCCTGATAACTAGAGGGTTTTCTCTCCATCGTGATTAATTATTCAAATTAAAAGGAGACAAAAACAACAGTTTGGTTTAACTAGAAGACAACAGTTTTTGAGGCAAAAGCCAGAAAGTTTGCAAACCTGTTTAAACCTGTTTAATATCATTAAGATGAGACTTTGAACGTGTCATTGTAAACAGCTCCAACATCGGGGGACACAGTTATTTTCACCTATAATCTTGTGTGTGGCCTGTTGGTGTCTACAGTGTTTTTACATTTGAACACGCTGAACCTCGAACTTGGGTATTACAAATATTAAAAGATACCCAGATATTTCTGGGTATCTTTTAATATTTGTGCAAAAAATCTTTTTGTGCAAAAAAAATGTGAAAAAAAAATTTGTGCAAAAAAATCGTCACTTTATCCAATCAATAGATCGGATACAGTGTCGATTGTCTTTAGTTTCCTCTCAGAACTGAAACTAAAGCTGCTTTGTAGTAAATGAGCCAACGTGTTCAAAGACACGGTTACGGTTGAATATAATTTCTATAAATGAATCGCTCAGTTCCTGCAGCCGATCTCCTCCTTGTAGCGGGTCGTTAGCGTGTTAGCCTTGCGCGTCAGTTTGGACAGAACCGAGTGGAGTCCATTCAGGTGGAAATGAAACTCTTTCTCCAGGTCGTCCTCCGCCACCGCCACCGCCTCCGTCGCCACGCCAGCCTTCTCCTTCCGCCGCTCGTCGCCCTGCAGGACGCCCCACTCTATGTCATTGCGGATGGACTTGAGCAGCACGTACGAGCTGTACATGTCGGCGTCCTGCTGGAAGTAGCCATTGGTGGCTGCGGCACCGTTAGCGGTCCTCGCCGCCTTTGCGTCCTCTGCATCGTCCAGCGGGACGTCCCGCAGCAGGCTGGGCACCATCACCGTCTGGTCCATGTTGTTGACGGCGCCAATGAAGCGGTTCATGGCGTTGAAGAGCGAGTTCTTCTGGTTGTAGGATTCAGGTATCTGCATCATGGCGAACAACCTGAAGTGAAGTCGCCGATGTCACAGTCCGGGCCAAAGTTAGCCCGCTAATGCTCTTTAGAGGATTATTACGAGGCTGCAGCCAGATCCCAGGTCAGGTCTGAACTGGACCAGGTTACATAGGTACACTCACCCTGTCCTCATGGATCAACGAGCTGGTTTCCTGGTTATAAACGGGTTGCAGTTTGACCCCGACAACTTTGTGTCCCTGCTAAGTGCGGAGGGCGTCTGTTGCTGCAGGACGCCGGCCGACCGTTTCACCCCAGAGGTCAAATAACAACCTGAAACACAACCACAGAGAAAGAGGTTTAAACAGGGAGAAGAAGAGGAGGGGAGCTAACAGACGCTAACATCACCAGAGGCAACACAAAATGAGCCCAAACTTAAACGCTTTAATATATTTGTTTGTTGTCTTTACGCATAACGTTCATCACTATTTTATTGTGAAAGTGATATTATCTTATACCGCCCAAAATAATAATCATTTTAAGGAGATAAATGCCTCAAGAATGACAAACCAATGGTTAATTAGCACTCAGACAGTTTGACTGAGCAGGTTATACAGAAATTAGCAGGCTTGGGAAGTAACTGATTACATGTAACTTAATTACATATTCACTATACAAAAAAAAGATAATAGAAAAAAGATGCAATCAGATTGATTAAAATGGGGATTAATAGGAGGATTACAATTTTAATCTTTCTATAGATACAGGGCAGAGGTCACATTGAAGTATGCCTGAGATTACTATATCTATATATATATATATATCTGTATATATATATATATATATATAGTTACATATGTATATATTTATATTTTTTTGTGTTGAATGTTGTATATATATATATGTTGTTGGTATAATATGTCATTTGTATATCTGG